AATGTCCCTAAAAGTTGGTGTGACAGCCAGATTAGTTCGTTATATACATTATAATATGCAATTCTAAGAAATTAGAAAAGTAACTTTGAAGTAATTAATTACGATTACCTATAATAACACATTTAAATAATAATACTGATTTTGATGATTGTATGTTAAAATAAAAATAATGAACTGTTTGCCAACATTTTTTTTTTTTTTTGAGGGTGTCATTAGATTACAGATTAAAATAAAGTATATAAAAAGTTAGTTATAAAAAAAATTATTTGGCTTTTGTAAATTAAAAGTATTAATGCTTATTTTACTAAACTTTAGAGGACCATAGTTAATAAACTAGAGAACCAAAATTGATGATTTGAATATCAACATTTTCAGAAAAAAAAGCTCTAATGGAATCCATTAAAAAATATAGTAGTTAACATTTTAAAAAATAAAAATGATTTTACTATTGGTACACCTGCGTGTTTAAAAATTTTGCTATTGTCATAAAAAAATTGCCTGTTAAAAATAAAGAAACACGTCTTTTTCGTTTTAACGAAATTCTATGTCATGGATCCATAATCGTTAAAAAAAACCAGCGTACAATGACATAAGATACCAGCTACACTCTGTATAAGTATAGTTTCTAATGTTTTTATGAAAAAAAAAGGAGTTATCTGGTTTGCTTTTTTTGGTGCAATAATTGAATAAATCCAGATTTATTTGATTTTTACTTTCAAACAATGATCACGTTTTAACATAATAGGTAAATTAAAGTTGTATGCATACATTATATAATACTTATTAGTTAATGACAAATATAAATTTGTTATATTTAAAATACATTATAATAGTTGTTGGTTTATGACAAATATAATTTTTTTTTATTTAAAATAATTAAAATACATATTTCAAAAAAAAAAATGATCATTTTGCGGAATAACCAGTAGAAACAGTAAAAAAGTCGAATTTGGGTTAAGTTTAATACATTTTTATACTATGTAACATAGATGAACCAACATTTTTCATACACATCTAGTACCTTTCATATAGTTAATAATTATTGAAATTTTCAAAAGTATAATTTTATACTATTTCATACCATAAAAAAAGTGTTTTTTACTCATCTTTAAAAGCTTCTGAAAGCGGATTTGTTAAGTTTATGAGTTGTTTCATCATAATTATGTTATTTTACGAAACAAAATCAAATTTTCAGTGTCAATGATGAAAGTATAGGACATATATGAGTATTAATATCTACTCAAAGGGTTTAAACTTGAAAAACGTTCTATAATCCTTTGAAATAAAACTGTACCTATATTGCAAATTAAATTAAATTAAATTTTAGTTTATTTATTTATTTATTTATAGATGCATCATACATCGTTCATACGCTAATCCATATTTACATGTATGAAATATAAAATTAGTTTTAATAATTAAAGATTAAACATTAATTTTAGTATACTATCAATGAAAAAAATGAGCATCGTGTGTAAGTATACATATTTATAAGCATATCAAATATATAGAGGAGCTTATAAGTATATATATAATAAGTAAGTTAAATTAAATTAAAATTAAATTATAAAGTGAAGATAATGCCTAAAATAACACTAGGTAGTATAGGTTCCTATAGTGACAAAACGTTTAGTCGATTTGCATCGATTTAAATAACTCTTCTTCCGCATTAAAGTTTTTCCTCTTAAAAATTCCTTCCTATTTTTATACATATAATTCATATTTTCAACTTCTACTTTATTTGTATATTCAATAAAAATTGTTTTGAGTAGCTAAATATTTAACAACTTATCTGACGATTTCCAGAATAAGGCAAGTCTCTATATTATGAAACCAAGGATGATACCTAGATGGGGGGAGGCATAATGAAATCAAACAATAAAAAGTACATAAAAAAGTTTAATAAAATGTTCAACATTAGATTTGAATTCCAGGGGGGCTGGGAAATGCCATCTTGCCACCACCCACGGACGTCCATGGTAGGTAGGTATCAGCTATATTATACTCCACTATAATACTTTCTAAATTAATAATTACAGTTACAAAATAAATACTCTATTTTGTCACTTGACGATGAGTCTAGGCATGGGTAAAGAAAAAAAAATAACTATTGTCTCTTTCTACTTCAAGTATCTTTGTAAAGCATTCTATTCATTTTTATTTAGAAAAATATGACGAAAAATGTTTTTACAAATAAAAACACAATATGCCTTCACATGAAAATTTGTATTTATTGATATTGATTTAATTATTATCTTATGTACATAATATGAAGCAAAACACGTAAAGGTACCTATTTAGTATTTAAATAATTAATGATTCAATAGGTAGGTAGTAGATACGCGTTTCACTGAAACCATTATCATATTATGTCTGCGCGTGATGTGTATTGATTATTATACAGTGAATAGAACATTTTAGTATTTTACATTTTTACATTTTTACATAACATCTCATTGTAATAGTCACATACATTTTGAACTTTCTATTTTTACTTTCAACTTTCATTGTATACATTTTAAAATATAAAAAGGATACAAAAACCCGTGTATTCAAAATTACAATAGGAACAATTATTATTGTTATCGTAAATATCATTATTATAATTTTTAATATGAGATTTTAGTTTTGATTTTATTTTAAACCAATCCATAAAAACGAAAACAATAATATTAAGTTTAATCATTGCCTTAACAAAATAATTTAAGAGGTATGTAAATATTTGGTATAATATGTATAACTAAAATAATGTTCAATTTAAGACGTCTTATTAAATTAAACGATGTGTTAATTTTAATTGTTTGCTATACAGTATATTGGGGTATTTTCAATACAAATTAATATAAAAATACTATACATATTATGTAGTAACTATATTATTTTTTTTTTTCGTTAAAATATGTTAATACATTTTTATAGTTGTATACTATTGTGTCCACTGAGGGATACATAAAACAAACTGAATTGCTAATTATTGCAGTATTCCCGACAAATTCAATTAAAGTACCCTTTTTTACTATTCTGGTATTTGTCATAAATTCATAACCCCGAGTGATGTTTATTAGTACACAGGTGACTAATAATAAATCTGTTGAACGAACTGTTAAATCAAATTAATAATCAATGGGTTCTATGGTTGTGGTTGCTCTCTAGTGTCTACCATCAAATGACTAATAAACGTAGAGGGCCACAGATAAAGCTTAACTATATTATAATATACTACTATGGTGACTATGACGTGTACGTTATTCAGAATTATATCATATCATATTATACATAATACAATAAATACATATAACTTTTTCTTTATGTTAAGTTTTAACAATTATTTCCCCTAACATAAGTGTTTTTTTTACTCTCAGTTTTAGTGTTAAGTCCGCTTTATACATAAATTATATGTTTATGAGGTTTTCAAACTTACTGTTACAAAAATAAATTACAAGTGATGTTCACCGAATATGCATGAGCAATTTGTATCTACTTACATTATTATATACCTAACAATACAATTATTTTCGAAGTATTTTGGTAAGCAAGACATTGGTATATACCTGCTAAATCGTCTAAATTTGTTTTGTAGAATTCGTAATAACATCTCTCCTTATATTTTAGAAAAATATTAGAAAATAAAACATCATAAATTAAAATGATGAATATTAAAAAAAAAATAATAATATAATATGTGAAATTGTAAACCACGTTTTATCATCAACAATACAAGCATGTATTAATTTTGCATACACAACACGCCTTGTGTAAACATTTTACATTGCGGTTAAAATAGCTCACATAAAATAATCTAGTTTCTTTATGATACAATTAATTACATAAGCATTAAAAACATTTTGTTGTATGAAGGTTATACATTGTTTGTGTTAACGTTAATATTACTTATTACGAAGCTTTTTTCATTTTATATAACAGTATTTTAAAAATTAATTAATTGTTTTAGATTCTGAGCGTAGCAAAAATATATAGATTTAATATAGGTACTAGGTAAGCATATATATTTGTCTGTGTATATTTTTTTTGCTACGCAATCCGTCAAAGAATCCATTAACTTTTTTTTTTTTTTTTTATAAATCTATAGATAATGATTTGTAATCTGTAAGTATTATTCATTTAGTCGTATTTACACATATTGATTATTAGTACCAAATTATAGTATATCACATCACAATTTCTAGAACGAATATTTACTGCTCCATTCGAGAACTGAGCAGTAAGTATCTAAATACTACCCTTAGGTATTTAATACATTATATACCTCAATACCTGTGCGATTAACTTGCATTATTAATAGAAACCGTGGAAACTGAAGCAACGATGACTTAATCAAATATGTACCTAGGTGATACTTTCCCAGTTTTAAATAATTCATATATTTTTCAATAGTATTCAATTTAACACTACCCAGGATTTATGCAACACGTTAACACTAAAAATTAACGATAATTATTGTTCTCAAAGGTTAAACACCATAATATGGGCAACCATATCGCAAAACGACCATACCCCATGTTGGCCAATGTCTTTGATGGTACACCAATTATGATGGTACTCTCTACTGGTTTTCACTGTCAATGTTTAATAAAAATTACTGTACTCAATGTCACGTGAGTGACTTATTCGAAAGAATTGAACTAAGGAAGAGTGAAGACTATTGGTATAAAAAAAAGCATCTCTCCCGCTAAGAGTTTCATCAAACTTTAATCATAAATCAAAGACGATTTTACTCGTTAATACCATTCGCCTATTTACGATTTTTTTCAAACTTTTTATTTAGCCCACCAAAACTATGTTTGGTCTTTCTACTATTTTTACGGGTGACGTAGCGCTAGAGCAGCTTAACAAAATATTATCTTTCAATGGTGCCGAAACCAGTTATTACCGGAGTATAATAATATTATGTGGGGAAAATCGTTGTAGAATGTTTGGAAAATCTGGTCTTAAAATATACCTATTATTTTTTATCGATCACTAAAACAAAATTATGGGGGTTAAGCTGTTCTTGTGGTTTTTTTTTCCCCATTAAAACCATCATCACAACGTTTGAAAAGCTCACCTTGAAACGCCGCTTCAAACTGTAACGATTTTTCGACGGTCGACAACTCGCCGCCGATCATTGCGCCGACCGCGACGACGACCGTCGCCAACAACACCGACGCCAACCGAAAGTCGTACATACTATTCGCAGCGCACTGGACCGGCATAGACACAGGTGTAAGCGAGGGACACTCTATTGGCCGCCAAACATTCACACGGTCGATGGCCGTCGCCCTTTTCGCTTTTTCTCGGCATCGCGTCTCGTCATCGTTTGCCGCGGTTTATTTTAATTTTTCAAACACTGCCTATAAAAAAATGTATTTTACCTACACGCGCGCACACACACACACACACACAAACACACGCGCGCTCGCTCGAGGACAGATACGGCGACGTTTATTAGTAAATTTATTATTATTAAATCATCGCGAGCGCACCGCAAAGAATCGTAATTTTATTTCGTATTATTTCGTTGGAAAATTAAAAACCCGAGAAAAAACTACCCTCGTCGGGTGGAACGGCGACGACGACGTTACTCACGTCGCGGTGCTACGAGCGTTTGGCAACTGTGTGTAGGTACCCCGTTCTTCGAGCGCGAGAGGCGTATTATCATTATTAATATATTTTTTTTTACTTACCGCCGACGAACGCACCCACCCCTGGTGGTTAGAAATCACGTACACCACTCATCACGCCATCTATGTGCTGCGATGTGACAATCGCCGCGTTCGTTTGAGACCGAGTCAAGGACGCTACGAACGATTCGGTGCGGGCGGCAAGTGGCAACTGCTGCTAAGCTGCGACAAAATTACTTTATAATATTAATATTATATTATATCCAATACAACCATATAGGTACCAAGTAGGTAGATTTGTAATATATTATGTCTACCACTCTACTATGATACCATAGTGACCAACCGATAATATAATATAAGTAACATAATACCTCAACGTGAAAGTCCTGCGCGAAAGACTCGCAAACTTTGTTCTTAAACACGTACGACTTACCTATAAAATAGAGTCACTATGTCAGTAAATCACACAATCAATCGGCGCAATATGGGTGGACAATTTGAGGGTGCAGCTATCCTATAGCACCCCAAGGTATTCAAAACGCTAAAAAATTAATAAAAATGTACCTTTAATTTGTACTATTTTATTGTTTATAATTTAAAAAAGGGAGTTAACGTGGAAGACGCTCTGCTGTACAGTTAGTAGGTTGCAAGTGGGTGACTGTAATCACTAGTGTTAAATTTGACTTCAATGATATAATATCGTTGTATACGAAAAACGATTCTGAATGGATACGCTTTGTCAGCCTATGATATTTTTAATTATATTTATATTACTATTAATACAGTACCTAGCCAGTTAAGTTAAATTATTATAATTTGCTAATTATCATATTTGTATATAACAATATTCTTTAGAAGTTTCAAGTAACAAATAATAATATTTTTAAAATTTAACACAAAACTAAAATCGTTCTTCTTCGTTTAATTTCGTCCAAATTTGAACATAAAATAACTATTAAAAAAAACTGTGTTTTAAATTTTTTAAATTTTATGGTTACAGAATAACTTATTTACATAGAATATTTTTTAAAATTTTTAATCCTTAGTTATAAAAGTTGAATTTTTTTTTAATTTTTAACTACAAAATCATTTTTAAACTATACATTTTATAAGTTTTGTCAAAATTCAAACATAAAGAGCTTATAAAAAATATTGTGCCAATGTACCTATTTTTAATATTTTTCAACTGCTACTGTAACTATATATCAGGAGCCTTGTATTCATTTTTTACTCTTTTTTACAATGCAAATAAAATTTTATTGGCAATTATAGAAAAAAAAACTAATAAAATTGAAAACTGACAATACCCTTTAATATTTTCAAAATTGTATGGTGTATAGAAAATCGTAAATCGTAATATAAAAATTCAGTAAAAATTGCATGTAACTACTGTCATTATTTGTTTTAGAGTTACACCAAAAACCAAAATCGATTTTGTCAAAAACTAATTTTGCTCAAAAATTCCTATTTTTTCGACAACATAATAAAAACTGTTTTGCGCGAGACAACTTTACTCCCTCTGTATTTATAACAGAATCATAAAAATTCCACAACGCATGCAAGTGTGACTTCTCTTAATTTTTGTAATTGGTTGAAAAAAAAAATACAAACATGCCCAGCTTTGTATAAAGGTAGAGTAGTAATGCGGTGTATTTTTTTCCGATAAAACTATATATGTCATATAGAATATAGATGATGTATAGTTAACACTATTCTCTTTACTTTGTGATAGTTACAAGAAAACATCACTAAAATGTAAATTTACAAAAATAGTGAAGTACAAATTAATGTGTGAATGTGTCTATCTATATCTTAACAGTTAACATAGAATAAACAAACTTATCAGTTAAAAATATATAAGTGCATAATAATTAATACCTATAGGTAATTACTTATTAGTTATTTTGAAATAAAAACAAATTGTATGTAACCTACCTACATGAAAGCTCGCAATGACTAGCTAACTAAGAATTTTAATTTATTATTTAATAAAATGAAATTTGTTTGAGTTACCATCACTTACAAAGCTTGTATACTGTAGGCTTCAGGTGTAATTTAAATGAATACCTACCTACATGATTCGTATAGTATTACAAAAGTTGTGTATCTACCTACATAAACGTATTCTACCCACGCTATGTAGTATATGAACATCTCAAATGTCAATATTTATCTCATAGCTTTGAAAATTTACTATGATGAAATCAGTACCAATGCAGTATATGTATGCGTAAAATAATTAGTAGCCAGTAGGTTTGTAAATGTATACCTACCTAATGTAGGTACTAATGTATAGATTGTAATTCTCAAGAACACAAGCTTTTAAAGATATTATGTAAACTTATTATATTTGTTTTACATACCTACCCATTTATTATTTAATGTTTGAATGTACTATGTAGGTATTATTGTAGTGGCATAGCGTAGGACGTAGGTAATTATATAAGTAGGTACCTACTTAATACGAATAACTAGGTAATAAATCATACAATTTACTTTTAAAATTGTTGGGTATCATTAGAGAAAAATTATTATTGTTTTTACATTTTATACTTTTAAAGTAATGTTGATTGCAATATTGTAATATAGGCAGGTGTCAATGAATATTAATATAAAATATTCAGTAACTTTAAATTTAAGGTAATCCACCCAGGCGCCTGAAAAATCGATTTCCACGGTGTGCCACCATTGGGTGACTTCCCCCTCCCGTTAATCATCCACATCACATTTACTTATTGTAATATATATAATTATAGATTGTAAATAAAATTTTTGTCCAGTAGAAAAAAAAATAAACCTTAAATTTGTCCCTAACTGTTCAATATTGGAGACTGATGAGTGATGACGTCATGACGATGATAAAAAAAATTACCGGACTTCTAGAACACCTCAAATTATAGAATATAAAATTTAACTTTCTTATACTTCAATTAATAATTTTATGAATGTAATTTTCAGTGTTCAAACCATTAAAAGGCAACTTTTTATTAGTTAAACGGCAGTTGATAGGTGCAAACACAAAACAGTATTCCATATTTGGCCAACCTCCAACTAATAGTTCTAGGTGGCTTACTTAATATACTTCCTACTTCTTATATACCTAATTTTATAAATATAATATCATACTTCCATGTATATAATATTATTTAGTTGTATAGATAATATCCTCCAATAGTCACCATTTATATACATATATTATAATATATATATTATATTTTATAGTTATTTATTACATACAGGACAATAATTAATGTAACCTAATAACAATATGCACTATGTACTATGAATATTAAATTTGAAAGATATAAAACGTGAACAAATATTTTAACCAGATTCTAGCATTATAGTACTTGTTTTGTTTTGATGTATTTTTTAACCAGATCATCTGGTCCAGAGGAGAGGACAGTATCTATAAATCTATTCTAAGTTAGAATGAACAATAGAGAGTTTTTAAAGGATATATTAATAAACCACAATTATGGATAATTTTATTCTTAATCATTTCTATGAGTAAAAAGAAAAGATCGTGTCATCAACAAAGAGAATAATATTATAAAATTCGTACCTAATAACTTAAGAAATATATAAAGAAAAAATTTGAAACGACAAGTGGTCACTTCGAGGAACACCCGGAGAAACATCAAACTGAGTAAGTATATACTTAGATTTAACAATTTGTAAACGCACTACAGAAAGAAATGACTGGAACAAATTACAAGTAGGGAACCGGAGAATCCAGATGATTATAATTTATTTTTTTAAAAGAATTATAAAATTATATATTGGTCAAAAGCCTCCGAGAAGTCAGTATCTATAGATTATATTAGCTTGTGCATATTTTGATTCAATGAAGTGGAGGATTATATTTTATTATTAAGGACAAATATTACTACAAGCCGATCTTTTAGAGATTAAACCATATAGGTATATTGAATCGATTTTTTTGCAAGGTACAAAGAGCAAACATTTAATGTTTAAACAAAATTAAATGAGAAAAAAAGTTTTTGAATGATCGATATCTTATAAAGGTAGGGCGATAGTTCGAAATGTATAAAGCTCTAAGAATCACCTTTTTTTAAAAAAAAAATTGGAGAAATAAAAGAAGTTTTCCAAAATCCAAAGTTATTGGAATACACCTTAATATTATATAGAATCTAAGTGTATATAAATTATAAATAGGTATTAGCATTTTAATCTTATATGTGTTAAAATCTAAGGTACCTACTACATATTGTGCACATACCTACAACGTACCTATACATCATTATTCATAGGTAGTTCATATTATACCGACTAGGTAGGTATATGTCTTTACTTAAGTTGGAACTTGGAGGTATATCGTAAATACATACCTATTAATTTATTATGTACAATTATTTCGTAGGTACCTACTTAGATATATAAATATTTTATAATGTGTATTAATGTATTTATAATATTCAGTATATAGATTATATTACACAAACATTTATGCGGAAAACGAAGGGTCCATATAGCATAAGTCATCAATCATCTTATAGGTTTGTAGATAGGTATTTATGAATTATGTTGCACTGTTGCATACATGGGCTTAGGGCCGCTTTAACCAAATATTTTAAACTTCGATTACGCTTAATCGACTGATAACAGATATTTAACCGGGCAAATTCGGCCGATTAAACCCCGGTTTAACTTTAATCGGAGTTTAAAGTAGTGGTGAAAGCGGCCCTTAGAAGAGTACCTATTTGGGAACGGGTAGGTATTAACCTGCGAAACTTTGAAGTTAATAACCAGTGAGAGTGAAGTAGGAGAATCTATTATAATCGTTTTATATTAGCTTAAAATTCTTTACCAATCTCATAACAATAAAAACCTTCAAAGCTCTACATTCTACAACTTACCAATTCAATGTAATGCTAAGTTTCCAGACTGTCGTTAAAGATCAATATTATAGGTTAGGTTAGGTGTACTCATATTTCATTTTAGTGAACAGTATCAAAACCAGATTGTATATTTATAAATTAAAGATCACCATACTCTAAATTTTCTGGATTGCCATGGAAAGTGATTACAAAAAATGATCAGTAAAGGCACCATTATATTGCCATTTATAACTTCCTACCTACTTGTGCAAAAAATGGTTTTTCACAGTACAGAAAAACAACGAATAAGCCCCGAAATCAACTGAATGTTGCTCCGGACTTACGAATCAAACTTCCAGAAATAAAAACAGTAATGAAGAAAACTATGGAAAGAGTCCAATCTTCTCATTAAATCCATCTTTGAGATAATGATATATGTACATTAAATTCTAAGCTCTGATAATATTTAGGTACATTAGTAACATTGTAATAGTTATTAGTTATTAGTTATTATATTTATTAACAAAATAAATATATAAAAACTATCCTGACTGTTGTTTATTATTTTTATATAGACGGCACTCATTTTTTGTGAGTTAGGTACTTACCTACTAAGATTATCGAAAAAAATTTGCCGGTTCTGCAAAATGCTTGAGTTCCTGCAAAGATTCCGAGAGTAAAATAAGTTGGGAAACACTGCTCTGAAGTATAACATATTAACATACCTAACCTTAGTCCTTACATTTATTAAACTTTTAAGATACACCTATCGAATTAAACCATTCGACAAAGCTATTCAAATCGTAATGCAATTTCAGACAAACATTAAAAGTGCCGTTCAACTTAAATTATTTCAAACCCTTAACGCTCCATGTTTATAACAAATATATAACACACATTACATTCATATATCATTAATATAGATATACTATTTACAAAAGCAGACCATGGTTGCAACTAGTTGAGCTACCATTATGGTGCCCTGATATTATATACTTAACAATAAATTCAAAAAATCTTTATGGGTTTTGTATAATAGTAGTAGGTATAGCAAAAACCCATAACATTTAATTTGTAACTACTATACTAGATATTTGAAATGGAAATATGAACGCAATGATTTAGTCAAAACTAACTTTGTTTTTTTTTTTTTTTTTTTTTAATAATAATTCAATCAAACACATTATAATAAATTATAAAGATAACGATGTCCAACCTTGTACGGAGACAATTTTATTATTATTAATATAAGTAGTAATTATTATTATTATTTTATAATATTTAGTAATAATTTTGTAAATATAAATGTCTATGACTAGAACAGAATTTGTTTACAAGGATTTTCTTTTTAAACATTTGTACAAAATAAACCTATAATATAATACTAAAAAAAAAAATAAATAAAAAAACATAAATACATAAAAACAAAAATGGGTAAATAAATACCTAAACATAATTTTATGTAATTTTGCACTCATAAGAACCAACAACTTCAATGTGAAACAGTATAATATGATCATTAGTTCCTCGCTCTATTTGTTTTTTAGGGAGAGGAAACAAGATTTGTACAAAATGGGAAAAAGTGATTATACTCATGGATTTTTTTTATTTTATTTTTTGTTAAACTCCAAAAAATTGTATTTACACTTACATAAAAAGTGGGCTTCATGTTTAATTGTTTCTGTCAAGCCTTAATAACAATGTATTTTAATTTTATTTTTTTATTCTTAATTATTTTTAATGTAAACAATTTTAAAAAAATTGGTTTGAATAAAACATTGAATAAAAATCACTGTGCCGTAGTACAATTAGTTATAGTAATAATAATTATAATGTGTAAATTTTGTATTCACATTTACTGTCCTAAATTAAGTTTCGTATATAATTAAATTTAAGTGATTAAAAGCTAAACAAATCTATTCTACGCTTTTTTTTTATATTTACACAGAAAACAAAATTTGTCTATATAATGTAATAGAATTTCAATGCTAGAATATTATGTCTATTTAATTAAATTTTTACAACAATTTTAATTTATTTTTGAATTATTATAATTAAATAATAATAGGCACTGAAGAATTTTCATTAAATACTCATGAGTCATAGCGGTTTAACGATATGCTGGTTTGATTATAATATTTGATTAATGTATTGACAGTCGAAAATTGTGCGCAAATTGTTTTAAGAATCAAGTCTGATTTTGTTCGTTAGTCAAAATTTAATTTGTTTACGTTTGGTCCTCACGTATATTATTTAAGTATATACTTATTTGAATTTAAAATTGTTAAAACTGTTAAGTAAACTACTGTGCAATATTAAGCATATGAATTGGTTTATCATATACATGATTTTTTTATACCCATTTTCTCAATTGATACAAATTTGTTCTGATAAAAAAAAAATTATAGTATATAGATAATATTTAATATTGTTTATTTTATAAAATTATTGAAATGAAAACTTTATATAACATTATACCTATTCTTTTTTAAACATAATATCGGAATATATTTTTAAGCTAATTTTAAAATTGGTTCATAACTTAAAATAAAATAAAAAGGATAGGTAACACGTTTATGGTACATTTTTTTTAGTTAATATGTGTGCGTATGTGTATTTTCATATTGTACGATGCATCGCCTTAAATTAACATGAACACCGAAACTGGCCATTTTGGAAATGTGTGCATTGAATTTCATGTACTTAAAATCAAACCTGTAAACATACAAATTGTTAAGGTATGCTAATTGAAACAACTAAAATAATGTTTAATTTATTAATAATTAGTATATTATACTAATACTAGTATAATAAAATTGACTCAGTGATAGTTTATATAAGCAAATAATGATTATTATGGATTTATGGATTTATGAATTTATCATATTATAATATAACTCGATTTAAAGTTAAAACTATTTAATGACTTAATTTAAAAATATAAATAGGTACCTGAATAATGAATAAAAAAATGTCATTATTTAAAAACTAATTTGTATTAATTGAAAACAAATTGGTTGTATTAATTGTTTTAATTAAATAATGTTGAGTTACTTAAAACATGAATTTGATATACACTGCAAAGCAATGTATCAAATGCCTACAATATTTATACTTTTATTTTTAGTTTTTAAATTTATTTAATGTACTAACTTAAATATCATTATTTTAGTAAGCTCTGTTAAGTATGTTTTACTGACATCAAAATTATTATTTGTTCACCCTTTTATTTTAATAATTATAATATAAGGAATTTGGTTATACAATTTATAAACAATGGTCTTTAAAAATGTTTATAGAAAAATAATATTTTAGAACTTCAGAAGTATTGACCTATTGTTCAGTAGATAACAGAAGATAACTACAAATAACATTAGATACACGGACAACCGAGTATCACAATAGGAGGAATACTAGGGAAATATCTAATAAATGTTCATCTATGTTCGATTCAGACGATTTTACTATTTTGAAAGAAATGTACGAATCAAACAGAGAGTACAGTCTACAGTCACAGGTATAGTACTATATTTGACAATAATTACAATAAAGCAATATTTCATAGCAAACGTACGATTAAAGGTTTTAATAATGGAATTTATACGTGTACTGTCCGAATAAAGACACATAACTTTATACTCGTAAGTTTCAAGGGTTGATTACTTAAATTAAAAAAGTTCTCTTTATATTTGAGCGTGTTTGCACGTTCGAGACAAATTACTTGATGATCTGGGCAGATAGATAACAACAATTAAACGACTGTGGCCATGACGAATATAGGTACGTATTATTATAATAATAGATGATTAATCGGTTAACAGCCATTGCTCCAATAATAATGAATATTGGAAGGTGTCGTGGTGATAATACTCGAGGACCGCGGTCGCCAAGATGCTGTAGGTTTTCGGATTAGATCGGATGCGACGGACACGTCGCCAAGCAGCGATGTTAGGGGTAGGTAAGATAAAATCGAAATAGTTAAACAATGGCCGCCATAATAACCGGTTGACGGACCTTTAACGCGTGTAAACTGCTTGTACGGCGCCGCAGTGTGATCTAATACAGTCCGCATCCTCTTAGGTTGTTGGCGATGATGACGTCTGTGACTGCGTCGAACACAAACTGAATGTTGTTAGTATCCGTCGCACACGTCATGTGACAGTAGATCTCTTTGGTGGTCGATTTGTTCTTTGCCTCGAACTGCGCCTGGATATAGGCGGCGGCTTCTCCATACTCTTGGGCACCTGCAGGACCAGACGGAAAATTGCAATCAATACATTGGCGATAAGACGGTTATAACGATATTATAATAATATTAGATCACACCCGCAGACATTTTGTCAGGCGGTGCCGGCTAGGCAGGATGCGCCCCGGGTCAGTAAGAGGAGGCAAAGGCAATTTTAAAATGTAAACTGTTTTTGATACTTATTGTATTCTTGATTTAAAAAAGCAATTTTTTAATTTTACAGAGTAATTTTTATATTACAAGATGGAGCTTAGTATTTGGTATAAATTACATTTGTTTATTTTATTACATTTTCTGCATATATTAAATTATTTATGCATATGACATTTTCGGCTTATCAATAACTCAAGTAGTAACATTAATTACAAAATAAAATAACTAGTAAAAATAAAATATGAAACATCAAAACAATAGTCAAAATAATCAAAATAATTAAAAAGTAAATCAATAATCCGAATATTAATCATAAATTTAAAACACAATTTTGGTAGAAGATAATAGTGATAACTTTTAATAATATACAAGTCATTTTGAAATACAAACGAATATATTCGTAGTCTACGTGTTATTCTCTATCACATAATATCACGCCTATAAAAGTTAAAAACGTAAAATTAAATATTGAAAACACTGCAGGAAAATGGATTTTTATGCATTTTCGAGGTAGTGCTTATTTACGTTCTGTATAAATTTTGCAGCGCACGCATAGTCGGTTTGAAAAAGGTATAACAATATTTTTCGAATTCACTGAAGCCGATGATGGTGTTCTATTTGTATAATTGACCAGGAAAAAAATTTGGTAAATATGCTGATCGTATCGGAATATCGTAATGGAAATTTTTTTTTTTGTATCGATACTTAGCTGTCAACAATCATCGATGACCTGTGTCATTAATATTGCAATTTAAAAATTGTATTGATTGTGCTGGAATGCTGGATAACTAAGATACAATTATAATACTAGTTAACATAGTTTAACGTACCTGCGTATTCCGGGAAACATATTGTGAGCGGCGATTTCTTGATTTTCTCTTCGAACAAGTCCTTTTTGTTCAGGAACAATATGATGGACGTGTCGGTGAACCATTTATTGTTGCAGATTGAATCAAAAAGCTTTAAACTCTCTTGCATCCGGTTCTAAAAAAATATTAAAGGTTTATTAAGCTTAGAATAATGTCAACTGCTGTAATATTAAAATCATTAGGTGCTATATAGGTATGTAATTCTGTCCCGAGTATTTAAAATGGATATCCTATTACCGTTTCCCGCTATTTGATTATTGTTTAAAGTACGTAGAAATACATTGTTTTGATCTATCAAAGCCGTGTATCAAATTACAAAATATGGTCTGTCTGTTACATAAAGCCGTTAAAGTGTCAAACGCCCAATTGGTTTTCAGCTGAATCGCAGCCTTTGTTCTGTTTTTAGTCAACGTTCATCCGAAATATATCTACATATTTTACCAGGATACTACGAATGTAAATGCAGTACCTATACCTAACTGGTTAACTGAATAAAACTAGTAAAATGTATCTATATTCTATATGCAATACAGATACGTATAGTAATGATGAACTTGCTCAAGCATCGCACCTTTTAAGTAAAAACACCCAACTCATTCTCCGACACTTTTTTCCAAGAAAATGGAGCTCCACAAAGTTCTACCATTTCCGTATATATTTTTCTTATCGTTATCGACAAGATTTCTGAAGAAATAACACTCTCAAACACCCCCCTATGACTTCACTAACCACTATTCTCTGCCGCAATACAAACATGAATTCTATTCAAAATATTATACTACAAGATTCCACAAACAAACTCATGCCTTGGTCGATAACATCCGGTTTCTGCTTTTCCCCAGAAAAACTTGTCTCATAGTTTTCAACAAAAAAAAAAGGTGGGTAAGTGGATGTCTGTGGTGGCTGCTGTACGGTAGGTTTCAAGTGGGCCACTGTATAATGGATGGTATTACATTTGAATTTAATGATATAAAATCATTGTAAAAGAAAAACGATTCTGAGCGAAAACGGTCAGTCAGCCTATGATATTATATTACTAACTACTAAGTATATTTGATGATATTATTGTGAATAAAGTAGTTTATAAATAAACTATTTACGTGGAACCTTGTTTTAATTTTTCAATCCTTAGCTATAAAAGTTGAACATTTTATACATTTTTAACTTCAAAATAATTATTAAATTTTAAATTTGATAAGTTTTGTCAAAATTCGAACTTTAAATGCTTATAAAAAAAACACAGACACAAAAATAAAAAATAAAAAAACACACATTATTGTTAAATCAATACATTCATCGTTAAACTCAGAATCTAAAAGACTAGAAATAAAATTCATATTAACATCGGATACCATGTTATTGAAAACCAATCTTAAAGTTAAAATACTAGGTGTTATTTTTGACCATAAAGCTTCATGGATACTTTACATCCTAAATTTGTAGAACTCTACTTCTTCAAGACTCAACATTATTAAAACTCACGCTCACACCTCACGGGGAGCCCGATATCGAACCTTTCTCAAAATACACAAGGTTTTTATACTCTCAAAACTTGATTATGTTGAACCAATATTTTCAACAGCCAATCCTACCCCATTTAAAAACACTAGAGCCAATTCACAATACGGGAATCTGACTCTCTATCGGCGCCTTTCGTTCTAGCCCCATATTAAGTACCTTAAATATTGCAGGAATTCCTTCCATTGCCGTACTATGGGAAGATAAAACGTCCAAATTAGCAGCAAGAATTTCAAGATCCCCTCAAGGCCTAATACAATACATAACCCAAAATATATTTTCAACAATAAATAATATAATATAAAATAAGATTTTAAAACATAATTTCATTTGAAACCTTCTTTTGCCCCCATAATTTAGTACCTACATTAGTATCAATTTTTAGTACATTAATCTTGAGCTTCATTGATTCCCTGAGAATTCAACTTGCCCCTATATTTAACATAAATGTATTCAAAGAAAATTGTTCATTCGCTCATTAACAAACTCGCATATATACGGATGCCTCCCTCATCGAAGTGCGTGTTATCATATGCCATAATATCGGGTATACGATGGCCGTCATATGCGAAGAAACCACATTTCAATAGAAACTCTAAAACAAATGTTCAATATACATTGCAGAAGCTTCGGAGATGCTTAAAGCTATTAAGTACATTAATTCCAAAGTATATGATAACAATATCACAACATTTAGGAGCTCATTCTCTACCTTTATCATCCTTCAAAATCATTACACCACTTCTGACATCGTCAGGAAAATTCAAAACACTTATTTCATAGCATAAAAATGTGGCAACAATATTACATATACTTGGATCCCTGCCCACTGTAATATAGATGGCAACAAACAAGCAGATACAGCCGCCAAACTAGTTCATTCGTCCCCAGATGCTCTCATCTCCCCCATCTTCTCCTACAAAGATTTAAAAAAAGTAGATAATTTAAGATGGTACATTACAGCAGTGTGAAATGGAATGGAATGAACTGTCCACCAAGCTAAACAAAATTAAAAAATCTATTCAACCTTTCGCTTCCCTAACAACACCACAAGAAAAAACGAGACTTCCATAAACCGTCCTAGGATAGGACACACCCACCTCACTCACTCACTTTTAATGAAGAAAGAAGACCCCCACTATTTGTTTCTATTGGGTCTTCATTACAGTAAAACATAAGAAGACTATTCCAAATATCCAATCACCTAAATAAAATACTCAACCCTGAACCCATCAACATCTCCAAGCTCATCCAGTTTCTAACAGAAAGTCACTTTATTAAAAAAATTGAAAATTGTATTTAATATTTAAATGTATTGGTTATTTATTACCTGTTATTACTTATTATTATTAATTAAGTAATTATGTAATTTATAAATTATATTTACAATGTAATGGTACGTCTAATGGCCATAGATGCCACGGACAGTTTGCTTATTAAAAATAAATAATAATAAAAATGAAGTTAAATTTTAATTTCGTTATTAGTTATTGTATAGCATATAAAATAATGTAATTATTAAACCGTCAAATGTTAATTTTTCAGTCGTAATTATTAAGTTGTACGTGTAACAACCTATTATTAAACTTGCATACACTTTAAAGGTAAATTAATATAAAATATGTAACATAAGACAAATTAAAGTAAAACCCTAAATTATTAAAATTAATTAAAATCTTGTAAATTACAATATGATTTAAAATCACGATATTAACGCTGGAATTGTGGTCAAATAAAATAGTGTAAAAACAATAGTATTAACATTATATACTAAAATAATAGGTACCTAATTGGAGTTGGTATATTCATAGGTACTGTAGTCTTGGTGTCATTAAGTCAACATTAAAATCATTTTTTAAATTAGGTTAAAATATAGCAATTTTTTCGATAACTTAAAGAGCAAAATGCAGAATGCATAATAAAACCAAATAATTATTTAATTTTAGGTGATATGCTTCGGTAACTATCAATAAATGTATCATATTATTTCCAAACCCTGACAAATTAGTTTATAAAGAACTCTCCAATTATGTTTGTATAACATATCGTCTAAATCTAAATCTAATGATATTGATTTTAAAATTGTCAATAACGCAAAGGTCTTATGTACTACCAAACTTGCTTACAAGCAAAAATATAACGTCCACGTACATCAAAAACAATATAACGTAATTATTACGATACACAGATGAACGATTTGAAAGTTGTAAATGATTTAAAAACGCACATCGTTGAATTATTGATTTTCGTGTACTAGCGTAGTACAAATTTGTCGCATAATATGAGTCAAATAAATAATATATTTTGATCGATAGAACTTTGTTTTCCAAACAACATTCATTTACCTACTCGTTTTCTTTTGACCGCACCGGACAAAGTAAAAATTACTTATGACAAGCTTTTACGTTTTCAACAGTCGAGTGTGAGGTAAGATTCGACTACAATTTTCATCACAAACTATTTACGCAGGCTTTGAAAAAAACCATACATCCTGCCATTAACGTAGCTTGACCACAAATAGTCGATTCCATATTGGCCAACTGTAATAGCATAATATTCAAGGTTTACAAATATCCAATTGTTTACGGTATATGCTCTAACTAAAATTCTAAAATACCACTTTATACTACTCTTTTCCTGGTCGGAATCGGTAATTAGGATTTTATTGGCACAGAAATACGGAATTCAAAAATCAGAAATAACTAATATTTGAATTATATATTTTTAAAATTCAAAATGAACAAACAATAATATATTAATATACACTCAAAAGTCAAAAATGTGTTCAAAATTTAAAGAATAATAGGCTAACTAATTTAAATTTCATAATATTACGTTTGAGGTATTTAAACTTGTGTAGGTGCCCCATATTATTTAATGAATTAGAAAATATGTAGCAAAATATATTGAAATTAAAAATGCTAATCACTATAACGGTATTTAAGTTCATGCAATAGTTCAGGTTTATAGTTTTATTTTAATTTTAATTTGTTAAAAATGTCAGCATTAGCATGTCATGAACATGTTAAGTTAAAATAAGCAATCTACATTCTACGCACGAGCTATTAAAATGCTTTAATATCTACTTGTTGATACGCTATTTTGGACAAAAATCCATTATAACATTTTTTAATTTATAAAGAACTTTGTTGTAATATAATATTTGGAGAAGCTCCAACAGTTGAAATAATATTCTTTTTAATGGTGATTATGTGAGCCGCTTAGGATGTCATTTTTGACAGTTAAAGCGGAGCAGTGCACTGCCCCATCATTTTATTTACTTGTGTTTATAGGTCAGTACTTAAACTTATATTGTTGTTGTTATATCGTAGAAAGATATACAAGGTAATGAATTTAGTATTTTTATCCATTAAATATTTTATTAGTTATATTACATAACTATATATAACTTATATATTTTCGTTATTGCTATGGATATTGTAAAATAAATCAAATTATTTTTTCAATCGAAAGATTTATAACCAGTTTCAATTTTTATTAAATATTAATATAATTTAAATCAAATTCTATGTAGAAGCTAAAATAGTTATTGTTTTATTTAAACAGAATATATACAGATAATATTCAATTGGCGTACCTATATGAGGATTTATTCGTTTGGTGTTATTTTTAAAATTTATAACTTAAAAATGTATATTATCACGATATATTTATCGATTTTTAAATTCAAGTATTTTGGGATGCTCAGTCTTATATAAGTTTTCCATGATTATAGTTTATAATTACTACAATTTTATTGTTCAAGGATATATATATATATATATATTCAGTGATACATTATACATGCCTAGTAGATACCTACTAATTAACTTCGAGTAAAATACATTGATTTAAATTTAATTATAGCGAAATAAATATATTAGAATTTATTACCTACATACGGGATCCATAAAAAAATTGTATTTTTTACTTATGTTACCCTGAGTTATGTTTAGTGAATATATTTTTATTGGGTGTTTCGTTTTTGAATAACTTTAATAAGTCATATCTATATATCTGTTTATAGACTATAATTTTTTAACCATCACATATTTGGTAGTTAATTTTGTGAAGTAATATTGTATAAATTAAAAATAGTAACTTAAATAAAATGTTTAAAAAAGGAAACAAATATATCATGATAGATATAATTCAAAAACATTATACTATACATGACTATAATTTTAGTTTATTATTTCATTTTTATTCTGAACGCATAATTATGCATAATATACATAATATAATGTACTTTTGTTTTGATAATAATTTTTTTTTATCAAATTCAATGTGATATCGTCTTATAAGATGAATTATCAGAGTAGGTTTAAAAAAACATTATTCACCATAATTTTGCTATAAATGTATAAAATTATTTTTGTACAAGTATATTAAATACTAGGTATATAAGTATTCGAGTTAAGCAGTATATATATTAGTTATGTATATATAGTTCAAAGGTTGACCGTTTGTGTAGGGTCGGTGTGGGTATCAGAGAGAGGTTGTATCGATCGGAGTAGTGTTGCCTTGACGACGAGCAGCGCCAGTGTCGGAGATAAGATCTTCATGTATATATAATAGGTGTACATATATAATATATATATGTATAATATATTTATGTGTACGCGCACGCCGTACATATAAACAAAATTTCATGCATACAATATCTGGGCGACTGGGCACATGACATATACAGAGATTCCGGTGTAGGTGGTACATCGCTATTATTTAAATGGTTTTTAGTAATGTGTAATTAGTCGCGAGTGATGTAGATAATATGTGTATATCGAAAAACTAGATTATGTATTTATTTATTTATGGTTTTAATTTCGAAATGGAAACCAATGAGTAATATATAGTAGAGTATACGTATTAAGATAAAAGGAAAAATTCGTAAACGTTTCGTGGTAATGGCATGAGTTATAAAAAGCAAATTATATCTACAACTTTTTACGAAATCCAAGAAACTGATTTGGATATCAGATCTTATTTCTCATTGGAACATTATACGTTGAGTTTAGTAAATGTATATTTCATCTGATGGATGGTCTGTTAACATTCAAGGCATTTCGATTTTATTTTGTACCAACTTTTCAAACGACACCGAGAAACCTCTATAAATATCATGCCTAGTCCAATTAAAATATATAAATTGTGTAAAATTTAAATGCACACTGAATAGAATTATGTTCGTATAGTATCTCAAATCACCATAACAAAATACTCAGTTCGTAATTAACTGCATTTAGTATAAGCAATTTCTATGTACAAGATGCCAAATTAAATATCCGTAATTTAATAGATATGTCGAATAGATTATAATTATCTTGAATTCAAGGAAGATCTTAAATCAAAGGTAATGTATACAATGAGGCAATAAGAAGACGGATACTTAAGTACCTAATATCGACATCAGGTGGGATAGACTGAGCAGTCATCCACAACCGCAACGACTAAAATTTTAATTGGCCTAAAATGTCTTTTGGTAGACTACGACAAATGCAACTAACGACGAGGGGGCAAAAGTTCAATTAGTGCCAATGTGGCCATCACATGATTACTATTATGGATGTGACAATTTATTAATGATCTCGCTTATGTTTGTGTGCATGTGTATCATTGTCTCTATTTTATTTTTTCCATCAGTCCGAATCAATATAAATAGAAAATAGTATATAACATTTTGGAAATTGAGTATTTACCGTTGTTTCGTCTTCGTGGAGCACTTGATCGTACTCTGACATGGCAACACAAAATATGATCGCCGTGACATCTTCGAAGCAATGAATCCACTTTTTCCTTTCTGATCGCTGACCACCAACGTCAAACAATCTGTGATAATATGAAATATAAATTAATATTTTAAGTATTCAAAATACTGAATATTATAAAAAATGTATACTCACTTGAAATTAAGGTTTTTAAATGAAAAATGCACTTCTACAATACCAGTGGTTTTTACTCTGGTACGCAATATATCCTGTTCTGTGGGCTGGTAATCTTTGGACCCTAACCTATCCAGATCGTCCAGAAAACTAAACAAAAATTACAGTTATTACTACATGTGGAGTATGAACATACAAATAGTTAATAATTATAAATATAATATGTATAAATAAGTAATGAACTTGAAACCAATGTTAAATGTACTACTAAATATATTTTAGTATATTGGAATTGTACCACGTAATCATACTAATTTTGAAACACATGGTCCAATAATTAAAGGAATTATTTTACTTCGTAAATATAATATTAATTTAACTCATTTTAATAATTTTAACAGCTATAAGAAACATATTAACACTTTTTTATCCTGGTCTTAGATATCTATAACTATGTTAATTAATATTATAGGTAATTCTTATTTGTGATAAGTGTATTTTTTCTTTTGAAATTATAATTTTGTTTACTCTGTTAAAGCGTCATTATTTATTACGTAGTATAAGCAATTTTAATAAAGCTTATGAAGAAAAATAAACAGATATTCGATATAGAATTGTGAATTCCTAAACATACCAAATAAAACAAAATACTTATTAGTTATTATAATATATTACGAATTACTTTCGTTTAATATAAATAAATTGTAATATATAAATCCTATCGCGTAAATACATCTAGATTTCTGGATTTTCGATTGTGAAACTGTCAACGGACACAGTGATTAGAACAGATCAGCGTTTTCTATATTATGTGTGTCTAAATTGAATAATAAACATAATTATTGTAGTAAATGTACATCCAAATACTTTATAATAGGCATATCAATTTATTTAATTAGGTATATTTTATCAATTGTTAGTTATTAATTATTATATAACTAATATTATAAGATTTACTATTTTTTAAACAAAGTATAATAATTTTATAATTTTTTTTAAATAATTGACCGCGGTGTTATATACAAGCGTGTATTAAAAACAATTAATATAATAAAGCACGGTGGTTATGCCCATTTAAAATAATACAGTGAATTTAAAGAACGTTAGTTAATTTTTTTATGAAAAAATAATACATTTTTACGGAGTTCAAAATAATGTGGTTTATGCAAGTGTATTTTTAAAATTACGTAAAAATAGATGTTATCTGAAACAGGTAAGTACGGTAATGGTTTTTTTTTTCGTTCGTGCACCTATTCCGTTTCCCCAGTTGCACGGCGGCGGTGGTGGTGGTATCGATCCAGTGACGTCATCGAGGACCACGCCCGACTAGCAACTAAACTAACCGTGCACCCCTATATCCAATATTAAGCTCAAACAGAATGGCAGCTGCTGTGCTGCGCCCCCTCGAAAGAATCACGTCAACGTTTTTCGAAAGTAAACAAATGAAATCTTAAATCCTCCTCAGCTTTCTAAAAGAATGGTAAACGACGCCAAATACTATAATAATAGGTCCATTAATTTGGATCGAGTCTAAAAATTAGAAGTCTGCGAATATACCTACATGATGAAATGTAAAATGTATACATGGTAAAACTCCAATGGACATCCACAGTATAATAATAATATTAGTATAATAATTCACCGGAAGATAAATATTTAAAGCCTAATATAATAGGTACACGTGTTTAACATATTTTAAATAAAATGCAAACTATTTCTAGTTAGACTTTATACATTAGTTGATCAATTTTGAAATGGTCTATAACGCAGAACGTTCCATACTACCTATAATAATGAATAATGATTAATGAATGTATAAATTATTTCTATTGTTTTTTTTATTTATACCTACAATTATGCATGATACAATATATTCGAATTCAAACGATTATAATATCAAATAGGTGAATACTATGGTGTCTTAGTTTAGAACGAATACAAATTAAATTATTAAGAATTAAGCTATTTGTAGTATGTTTCTAAATGAGGTAAGAATATCGACTGATTTATTACAAAATACCTATAGTAAGTTAGAAAATAAGAAATATTTTAACTTTATGTATTACAACACGTGGTAAAGTAAATTAAATTCAAACTTAGTGTGAAAACTATTTACAATATCCAGAACATTATTAATATTTTGTGTATACAAATGTAACAATAGATTAAGAAACTAATTCACAATTAAAAAATCACTTGATTAAATGTTTCGAATTCATAAAATATTAAATTCTATAACACTGTTTTGATCTCAAATATTTTAAATATGGATATTGGATAGGATGACAGTTTTAAACTGATGAATATTGAAAAAATTGTAATCATAATGCATTTTAATCTATTTATATCTAAATGTTTTGAATGTTTTCTTTTTTTGCAACTTGTGAGCTCTGAAGATCGATCTTAAAGTAATAGCATTGATTATAAATACTATAGTATTAGTAGTATTTATAATCAATGGTAATAGTAACAACTACCTGTGGTATTAAATAATAATAAATCAATTTACTATTTAGCAGAGTCGTTGAGCTGATATTCATTTGACCGAGAAAAGCACATTTGCACGCCAGGATCGGCCCACAGTCTCTTCATAGCAGTCAGCAATTCTTCCGAGAATGGTTCAGTATCTTCCATCCTTTGAATTACATCCAACACCATTTTCGCATCAGTCTGTCAATAAACAGAAAAAATTAATAAATATTTATGAATTACACAATTATATTGTATAAAAATTAACATAATATATATATTATTAATATGATCAGTGCAGGAGCGGTTCTAGGACTACATTTTCGTATGGGCAACAGTAGATTTATCATTAGGTTTTAACTGCGAATAATATTCCTCATTTCTTCCCCCTTCCCCAATAAGGGGAACCAAACATTTTGGTATGCGCAGCTGCCCAGCCTGCCCATACGCTAGAACCGCCACTGGATCAGTGTACACTCATTCTACCTATAGTAATTCAAACTATTTGTGGTTTTGTATCATGGCACTTGACGCTTGCCTATTCTGTGTCTATATAATTCAATGACCTGGTGCTATACATTTTAGTGGTTTCTGCCATTACAAGGAAAAGGGGAGATCTTTCTCAGTAAGGAAAATCCTAAGTTATATGTAAGTCGGAATTTGAATGTTGTGTGGGTTTTTAGATCTGTTTTACAATGATATGTGTTATTTAACTAGAATTAAGGCCAACACTCTTTAAGGAAGTAACAAACTCAAAAAGTCTCATATAACTCCTAGGTTTAGAATTAAAATTAAATATAAATTGTACCAACTATAATTTTTTTTTAAACAAATTTTTAATTGTTGCGTTGATATTATAATCTTGAAAATTAGCAAGCAACAAAAAGATGTTTATATGAAATAGTGTAACGAAGTTTGATTTTAGATATTTTATCGTGATTCAAAAAACATAAATTATAGGACTTCAAACTTTTCACCATTGCGTACATAGTATGTTATTATTTCTACACACAATGAAATGTTCAAAATATTTAGATTCGTTTTGAGCAATTCATACTACGCACCTATTCAAGCAGTTCTACGGTACGTTGGTATTGACTTATAATTTAATAACAGCAAGTAATATTATAATATGATATATGCAATTTATTTTAGGCCAAAATTAGTACAACCTATACGTATTACTAAGAGAAAAATATTTTACATTTACTAAACCAACTTCCGCACAAGATCGTTTTTTTTTTATCATTGAGTTCAAAAATTATTTATTCCCATTTCCCGACGAAAACATTCAACTCATTGACTAGTTACACCGGATACCTATTATACAGTAGAGCGAGTTCCCCAATTTTTTTTAGAAAAAATATATTTTGTAAATAATTCATATAATATTATATTTTATAATCATAGTAGGTAGTCTATAAGTTAAAAACCATTTATATTATAATTTATAATAAATGCTATTTTTTTTTTACAACAATAAAATTGGTTCAACCTACCATATTACCGATAACAATATTATATTCGAATAATCTGTGATACCCCTACGAATCGTATTTTTGGTTCTACATATTTTATTACGTTAATTCTAAACATTATTAAAATATTATACCACTATTTTTACAGAGGTTTTTTAAATTTAAAATATGATAAATAATGGTTAATCCAATAAATGATTATATTATATAATTTACCTAAAAATTATAATATAAATTACAAAAAAGATACATTTTTGTTATCGATCCGCCACCAAAAATTAAAATGAACCACACCCACTCTGGGCTACCAGTCGACCATCCAATACATTCTGATTTTTATGTACCGTAATAAATTTTACAAATTAAAATAGAATATTGTAGTAGAGCTATTTATTATTGATATGACAAATTTTTAAAATTACACGCTAATTAACAAAAAAATAAGATGATTTCATAAAGGTCCTTTATTGTCCTGAACATTGTCACACGTTCCATTTGTTTTTAAGATATATTTTTGTTGTAAATGAATGCCAGTATTAAATATTCCAGAAATTAACCCATTTAAATACTTTTTTAAAGATATACTAAAATAACGATGGTCAACTTAACGTCAACTTATACTAAATAATGATGAGTGATTAGTGATTACTGATGAATGATGACAAACCGATAACTTACTAACATGATAATATAATGTAAAAAAAATACTAAGCAACACTTTAACTTATAGTTTTATCAATTTTTCTATAAAAAGATGGCGTACAGAGAAAATTGATGATAACAATGTCAATTTTTTTAGATTTAAGATTGCCGACTTTGTTGGCAGCAGAGCGATAATTTTATACGACGCCACGGTGATGATATAGTTCCGAACCTCATTAATAAGCACATAATAAGTAGTAAGTACAAGATAGTCATCTAATATAAGTACCTAATACAATAAATGAAGATATACTTATCATACCTATAATTCTATAAACATGAATTAGTAAAAATTAGTTTCAAAACTAGAAGTCCAAGAATCACTAATACCCACTTTCTGGTTTTAAAATTTGTAAATTCGTAATATAATATAATATAATATAATATAATATTCGTATTATTGTGTTAGTATTATTATATTTAATCAAATACTTAGTCATCATTATTATAAAACTGCTCATTGTTATTTTTACAAAGATATATTTTAAGATTTAAGTTATTTTCCTATCATTGAATTGATCAAAGTTATCGAATAAATAATGGGGGTCATTCAAGGTTTAAAACGATTAAATATTGATAGTAACATATTCTACCTACCTCATAAAAGTAAGGTAGGTAAGCAAAAATACTGACAATAAAAGGATAAAATAAAAACAAACAAATATATTTGTTTTAATAGGAACATATTATTATCATAAATATTCACATGGGTATACACAATATTATGTATTATAGGTACACTTTAACATTAAATATAATTGTTATGTCTTAATTACGTAATAATATTACAAATTGCCATAAACAAACATCATAACATTAATTTGTTGATTTACAACAAATTAACATGTATATTAATATTGTAATATTATAATAATTTTTACTTATTGCTGTTATTAAACCGAAAAGCGTCAAAATGTAATGTATATGTCTTTACATATATTATAAATGTCGTTAATATTCGAAAACATATAATTATTTATATTAATCACTAATATCATATTTTAAATAGATTACCTATAGATGTGTTTAATTGTTTAGTTATTTAGGTAAATAGTAAGGTACATTTTTCAAAGTTTTTTTTTAAAATATTATTTAAGTATCAAATGCTTTTAATAGTTCAATAAAAAATATATATACTTTTAATACATGTATCATAAAATTATAAACTTAATTTCACAATACAGGACTACATCTAAATAAAATTGTTTTTATTCTTTAGGAATGTCATAATTAGCACACACGTTTTTATTAATTATTAATAAAGCATTTTGTAGTCAAATAAATAAGTAATTCTATAATGCTGCCTAGTTCGGCTATTTATGTATATAAAAATGTTATAACCTTAATATCTAGACTTAAGATTAGAGTCTAGTGTTTAGACAAATTAAGAAAAACTTGTAACGAAAATTGAACAACATTCAAAAAGTTCGGAAAAATAACCATGTGAAGATTATCTATAAGTTGTAGACCAGTATTATACTATAATAAGTCCTAATAAATAACAATAAGACCTACCAATATGTCTTATAATAATTATAAAACATATTGTTATCTCCTTCGAACCTTGCTTTGAACCAGCTAAGCACCCCCAATCATACACAATTCATATAAAAGTAAGTACCTAAACACTAACAATAAATTAGTAAGTATACTTAGGGCCGTTCTTACGATGTCCGGTTAAAGTTAACCGACACTTAACCGGAAGAATTCTGCCGGTAATAAAATCTGTTATCAGTCGGTTAGCGTTAACCGACACTTTACGGGACATTGTAAGAACGGCCCTTAATGATGGTTGATAAAAAATATAAATTTTTTCATTCCCAACAATGCGAAAAATCAAACATTTTAATTGTTTAATGCATTCAATGTAATAGGTATCTAACTTACATTTTTACAATTTGTATACAACTATTATCCTATAGCTTTCAATATTCATACAAATTACGTCATTTTAAATCTTTCTTGTGAGCGAAAATCCTAATTTAAATATGATTATAGATTTCTTGTAGTGACCAATGTTTAGAATGGTCAAAAGTACCTCTATGGATTAGAAAAGATAAATACATTACTAAATAGTTTGTTTAACAACAAAGAAATGGTCAGGACAAAACTGAATTAGTATTTACAAATATTTGATATTTATAAGGAAGCAAAAATCCACCACGAATCATTTATTAATTGCAAAGGTTTTATATTATGTTCCATTCGAAATTAAATTTAAAATATAAAATTTAATAATATACTACAAGAAATTGTACATGGTACATCGAAATAAGTAAAGAAAAACGAGTGTCCGAAACAGGAGTCTCTGACAGAAGAAATTTAAATCCGTTTATTTCATAAAATGTGTGTAATAATTTACATGATTTAGCTACCTATATATTAATTATTAGATTTTTATTAGGTACCTACTACTATTTATCAATAACTAATGAAACTTTTAAGACACTTATCATTATATACATTTGAAAGATCAGTTTAAGTTCTCTTTATATTTTATTAATGAATATCCAACTCTTTTTACACTTTTCAGTTAGGAATATAAATACAATATATTTTTTGTAAATAACAAGCATACCAGATACAAAATTTAGTTATCATTGTAATGTTAACTTAACAAATACCTACTAATACCACGGTTATTTTGCCATTAGATTGAGTATTAATCTGAAATATTTGAAGTTGATGAATAATGTAGTCGAATACGTGGTTTTTAAAAAATATCAATGGTAGGTACTAAATAACTAAAAATATATTATTATGTATAATATGTATGTAATGTCATACCTATAAGTAATTATTAATATTATAGTGTTCAGTTCAATAGTTAGTTTCCAAACATATTTTCTATTACAAGTAAACATAATTATACTTTCGTTTTTACCAAATAAATAGATATGTATTTAGCAGTAATTAGTGTTGTACGATTAAAGAGATTTTACACACACCGAAAACTGTTGTTAGTAGTCCAGCAGATGACAATACTTGTAAATTTAATGTTATATCAACTATATTTTATGT